GAGGGAGGTGTTGGAGAGAAAAGGAAAAGAAAGAAAAGAGGGAAAGGAAAACAGGCATGGAAAAAAGGATAAAATATATGCATTTATATCGCACATTTCACAACTCAGGATGTTCCAAAGTGATAATAAACAATTAATTATTGAGATATAATTACTGTTGTATATAGGCCGGGAATCAAAACCAGCACAAAGGAAGATGCATATGGTTGTTGAAGGTCAATCATCTCGGCTCCAGAATGTCTTGACAGGAGTTCCTCTAGGTAGTGTCTAAGGCTTAAATCACTCTCAGCTATTTTACCAATTACCTTCCCTCCATCAAGAGGAGAAGTGGGATGTTTACTGGTAATTGTATAACATTCAGAACCATTTGTGACATTTCACACACTAAAGTGTTACGTGTCCATATGCAGCGAAACCTGTTTAAATTCCAAGCTTCGAATGATAAGTGACAAATAATATTTGTGCCATACAAGTATCAAACAATGACCATGTCTAGCAAACAGAGAATCTTTTGACATTAAATGGCATTTCCATCACTGAATCACTCAAACAACATCCTGGAAGTAATCAGTGATTAGAAACCGAACTAGTCCAACCACAAAAATACAGTGGCTACAACAACAGGTTACAGGCAGGGGATTCTCTGAGTAACTCACCTCCTGTCTCCCAATGCCTGTCCACCATATGCATGCATGAGTTTGGGATGTGATAGAATATTCCCCACTTGCCTCAATAAGTGCAGTTCCAACAATATACAAGAAGCTTGACACTGTTCAGCAGGGGTCTGTGCTGAGACCACAACTATTCACGTTATACATTAACAATCTGGACAAAGGAAATGAGGGCATTGTTGCTAAGTTTGCATATGACATAAAGATAGGTGGAGGGAAAGGTAGTGTTGAAGAGCCAGAGAGGTTGGAGAAGGACTCAGACAGACTAGGAGAGGGGGCAAAAAAGTGGCACATGGAATACAAATTTGGAAAGTGTGATGTTATGCACTCCGGTACCAAGAATGACTATTTTCTAAACAGGGAAAGGTTTCAGAAATCTGCAACACAACGGGACTTAGGAGTCCTAATTCAGGATTCTGTTAAGGTTAACATGCAGATTAGGAAGTTGGTAGTTAGGAAGGCAAATGCAATGTTAGCCTTTATTTCAAGAAGTCTAGAATACAAGAGCAGAGATGTACTGCTGGGACTACATAAGGCTCTGAACAAGCTGCATTTGGAATACTGTGAGCAGTTTTGGCCCCATATCTAAGGAAGGATGTACTGGCCTTGGAGGGGTTCGAGAAGAGGTTTACAAGAATGGTCCTGGAGATGAAAGGCTTGTCATTTGAGGAGCAGTTGAGGACTCCAGGTCTGAACTTAATGGAGTTTAGAAGGCAGAGGAGGGAATCTCATTGAAATTTACAGTATACGGAGAGGCCTGGATAGAGAAGATATTTCCACTAGAAGAAACTAGGACCTATGGGCATAGCCTCAGACAGAAGGCACAACCCTTTAGAACTGAGATGAGGAGGAATTTCTTTAGCCAGAGGGTGGTTAATCTGGGGAACTCATTGTCTCAGAGGACTGTGGCAACCAAGTCATTGAGTTTATTTAAGACAAAGATAGATAGGTTCTTGGATTGGTAAGGGGATCAAGGATTACAAGGAGAAGGCAGGAGAATAGAGTGGAGAAACATATCATCCGTGATCAAATGGTGGAGCAGACCCAATGGGTCGAATGGCCTAATTCTGCTCCAACATTTATAGGTCTTATGGTCACTTGACTGGCACCTTCAACATTCACTTCCTTCTCCACCAACATGCAGTAGACCCTGCTGTAACTCTCCAAAGCTCCTCCGACAGCACCTTCCAAACCATTGACCTCTACCACTTAGGGCAGCAGTTGGATGGGAAATCTACCACCTGCAAGTTCTCCTTGAAGTTACACACTCTGCTAACTTGGAACCATATCACCATTCCTTCACTGTCATTGGGTAAAACTCCTTGAACTTGTTCTCTAACAACACTGATGATGTTCTTACACTGCAAGGACTGCCGCTGTTTAAGAATCCACCTCCTCCAGAGCAACTAGGGATGGGAAATAAGTGTTGGCCTAGCCATCAAAACCCACATCCCAACAACAAATAAATATGTGGCATGTAAATAATGCAAAATCACTATAGTTTTATCAGACTTTAGGGCTGTTCTCTTAGAGAGAGATGACTGGTAGTGGCTTACCCTGACAGTCAGCAAAGGGAGAGATTGAGAAGGAGAGTCCTTCATAATAACCTCAGCCGGTGTGGGAACTGAACCCCTGCTACTATTAGTATCACTCTACTTTGCAAACAGAGGATAACTCCCCTGCTCTTGTTTGAAATTCAACTCATTACAACTTTGGAATATTAGCCATGGTATTAATGCTCAAGTACTGATGTGAGACTTGGTCACACAACATTCTGAAGAGGATGAGAAGAGCATCGGGGTTTAGACATGGGGATAGTACAGCAAGATGGGAGTGGGGACAGAGATCAGATTTTACTTAGGCATTAAACAGAATCTTTTTGGTGCTGCTTTCAGTTTATTGTGAACATTATTTGCTTCTTCCTTTCATCTGTTCAGTATGTATGGAAGTGACTCAAATTACTCATCAGGTCCTGTGGTTTCTTGTGCTCACAAGGCATCATTTCACCTTTCCTACAACTTCAGTTTATATTTCTGAAACTTCTTCTGAGTTTCTTATTTTGCTTTGCAAGAGCTCATGTGACCATCTATGTCAACTAGTTTTGAGATTTTTAATGGATTTGTAAGATTGGGCATTTTGAGGTTTTTTTTAAAAATGGCTCCTCAGGTTTAGAGTCATAGAGCCATACAGCATGGAAACAGATCCTTCGGGCCAACTAGTCCACACCAACCATGTTCCCAAATTAAACTAGCTCCACCTGCCCGCCTTGGCCCATATCCCTCCAAACCTAAATAAAAATTGTCGTACGGATTCAAAGGTGAATTACTACTCCTTTCCTTAAGGTGGCCCTCTCATGCAACACTATGCCATGACATTATGTGCACAGTTTCTCATCAATTGCAATATCTTTACAGCCACGACTGTTGAGTATTTTAACTATATTAGAGATTCAGGTCTCAATTGAGTGTTTCCTAAATTTCTTTAAACAGTTTTGCATTATTTCAAATGATACAACCCAGGAGTACAATCAAAGGACCAAATGGCCTACTCCAGTTCCTAAGTCCTATCTTCCTAAAGTTCAAATTTAATGGTAAGGTACAGTTTGCTGGAGAATATTAGGGAGAAGAAAGATAGATGAATTCCAAGTTTAGAAATTACATTATTGATAAGTGCTAAATTTTTGTTTGATGTCAACTAATGGTTGATCTAGTTATTTCAAAATGACAAATACATTGACTTGATATGAACATATTGCATAAAGTCACTTCCATTACTAAACGTAACAACCCCAGCAAACCCAGTCAGAAATTAAAACCAAGAACTCTGGAAGCTGGAAATCTGCAACAAAAACAGAAATTGTTGGAGAAACTCAGCAGGTCTGGCAGTCTTATCTCAGACTCCAGCATCAGCAGTTCTTACTATCTCTAAATAAATCACAATATTTGAATTGGCACGGAACAACACTCAGAAGTTAGCAAAATATTTTCTCAGTGATTGACATACATTTTAAATAAAGTACATTCATTTGGAAGCAGTTAATTGCCTGTGCCTTAATGTTTTCCAGACACCAAGTTTGTGCTATTCCTTTGCTGAGACTCCAGTTGACAGACCCCACCCCACACCCACTTTGTAATCACTTGCTTCTTCCATATCTCCCTCTTTGTAGTCACTTGCTTTCCCTCCTCTCCCTTTTTGTAACTATTTATATCTCTTCCACCCACCCCCTTCCTTTTCACAGGCACTTACTTCTCTTCCTTTTGAACCACTTGCTTCTCTGCTTTCCTCTTTCTTGTAATTTCTCCACCATGCAGCAAAATGCTCCTCTAGGCCTTGGCTAACAGACTCCACCCTTCCACCAACCTCACCCAGCAGATTTGCTCCCCCCTCCCACCATAACCCTGGGACTTGACCTGCAGACTTGCTCTCTTCTGGACTAGTCATACTGATTCATTACTCAACCCAGACTTGGCCTCAGAAGACTCACTCAGCCAGGCAGACTCACTGTCCACCACTGACCTCACACTACAAACCTGTTTGCCTGGCCTCACGCTATATGTACATGTGCTCTTCTACATCCCCTCCCCCCACCACACCTCCTTTTCTCCCCCATCGCACCCCTTCTTATACACTTGTTACACCCCTGCCCCAGCCCTGTATACTTCCTAATTCAGGCCTTGCCCTGCAAGCTCCTTCCCCAGCTGACCCCAGCACTGCAGACTCACTCCCCTCACCCCAGCCTGTTCCTGCTGATATGTTTTTCCCAGGCTTCATTAACTTGTTCACTGCTGCTACTCACCTTCTCACAGCAAAGCAGCCTGTGATTAGAGGAACAGCTCCTTTCAAAATTTCTCAGTTCCATGTACCATGGTGACTTGCTTTACTGATCAGCCTCCCTGTGATGGATTTTTCCCTAAGTAATTCAGCCCACCCCCCATGTATTTTGAGTGCTTCTGAACACCATGACATATATCATTAATTATCAGCGCATTGGTGCATTTTGCAAAATGTAGAGAGTCATTTGCACCGAAATTGAACAACAAATTGAACTTACTTAAATCTGCTGAGCTGCCAAGTTCCATAAAAGTCAGCAGGTCAGTCTACCAATGCAAAATATGAGATGTACTAAAATATGAAAAAGTCATTAAATTTTGGAACCGAACTGCTGAACTTTTCTATAGCCATCACAATTTAAACTTTTAGCCAGGCTTTTCATAGACATGCATTAAGTCTATTTTATTTTCTTTATTCTTCAAGTTGAAGATGAACAGTAGAAAATAAATTGTTAAAAATATACTTTCTTCTTTGAAAGGTGGCATTTTTCCCCCTTACCTCAGGTGGTTGCTCAACGGTTGGTGTTGGGGGACGCGGAACAGATTTTAAAGTCTTAAACAGAAAGCGAAGTGGCTTTTCTGGTTGTGCTCCTTTAAATTTTGCTTCCCGTATTGCCTGAATGTTATAGATGTAAAATCTGTAAGTCTACAGTCTTTACTACTACTCTTCAAATAATCTATTCATAATTACATTTAACATCAGTGATTCTTAAAGTATTTCTACTTAATGCAAAAGTTAATGACCAGTAGCACTGCTAATATTTTCAAATCTTGTCTGACATGTGATTATTAGGAGGGGTGTGAAGACAGACTGGGGAGAATAAGGAGATGTAGAGAAGTAGATGTAGAGTTAAGAAATTAAAACAATCTTGGTGTCATGGTGCAATGATGACAACCTCTCTCTCAATGTCAGCAAAACAAAAGAAGTGATCATTAACTTCAGGAAGAAAGGAGGAGTACACACCCCTATCCACATCAATGGAGATGGGGTGGAGAGGGTTGAGAGTGTCAAGTTCCTACGAGTGACAATAACCGACAATCTGTCCTGAACCTCCCACATTAGATGTGACGGTCAAGAAGGCACAACAACACTTCCTCAGACGGCTTAGAAAATTTGGCATGTCCAAAAGGACCCTCACCGAGTTTTACAGATGCACCATAGAAAGCATTCTATCTGGGTACATCACAGCTTGGTATGGCAACTGCTCTGGCCAGGTCCATAAGAAACTACAGAAAGTTGTGGGCACAGTCCAGACCATCACACAAGCCAACCTCCCATCCATGGACTCCATCTATACTTCATTGCTGCAGAAAGGCAGTCAACAAAGACCTCTCCTCCAACCTCTTCCATCAGGCAGAAGATAAAGATGGTTAAACATACATACCAACAGGTTCGAGAACAGCTTCTTCCCTGCTGTATTTAGACAGCTGAATGGACTTCTCGAAGTTCAAATCTAATATTGATTTTGCTTTTGTGCACTTCCTGTGCAGCTGTAACCTTGTATGGCTTGCTCTGTCTAAGCATCCTATAACTGTATGCTATGATCTTCCTGTACTGTACTCAAAACAAAACTGTTCACTGTACTTAGGTGCACGTGAGAACAATAAATCAAATCAAATCACAATCCTACACCGTGAAGTGGTGTCAGGGTCAGAGGGGAGGCATGCCAGGTTTCATTCCTTGTGCTGGCAATATTCACCAGCCTGACAGTGAGCAGGACATCGATCTTGCTTTCCTCCTAATGAAGCCAATTAAATTAGAATAAATACTTGTTCAGAGCTTGACTGAGGTGACAAGGGGTAATAGCCCTCAAAGAGGATGGTACTCATTCCCTCTAAGAGAATCAGACAGAGGCACAGAAGTGACCAAATGTCCAAATGCTAGGACAAACACTTAACAACTCATTGGGTGTGTGTAGATGCAATTCCAGTGCCTGGGCTGTTCAGGCCACACTTGTCAATAACCTCCTGCAAATTGTCTCGCATAGCAGTCAGAAAGGTGTCCTCACAGTCAGTGTCATGGTGATGTAGTCTGGGACGAGTGTCCTCACAGTCAGTATTATGGTGAAGCAGACTGGGAAGAGTGTCTTTGCTGAGAAGGTGAAGTGACGGATCTCCAACAACCACATCTTCCTATGTTAGGTATGACTCCCAACAAGTGGAGAGTTTGCCTCCCATTCCCATTGATTGTAGTTTAGGTAGGACTCTTCAATGCCACACTTGGTCAAACATGGCCTTGATATCACTCTAACCTCACCTTGGGAATAGAGTTCTTTCAGCCATGCTCAAACCAAGGCTGTAATGAGGTAGGGAGCTGAGTAGCCTGCCAGAAACCAAACTGAGCAGGTTGTCACTAATTGTGTGCTGCTTGATAGCACCTTTGATGGCATCTTCCATCATTATTTGTCCTGCTTTTTGTTTACAGGACATTCTTGGCAATTTTCCACATTGTTATGTCGATGCCAGTATTGAAGCAGCTTGGCTGTTGACGTGTGTCAAGTTCTGGAGCACAAGTGTTCAGTACTATTGCTGTAATGTTATAGACTATAGACAATGGACAGCTGGCTATGAGACCACTGAAATTATATAGGCAAAGGTTAGAGATTCTAGATAACTGAAATGCTTGTGCACGTAAAAGAAGAATGTGGATTACAGTTTCTTTAAAAGAATGTGGGCGTTGCTGGCTGAGCCAGCACTTGTTTGCCCATCCCTAATTGCTCTTGAGAAGGTAGTGGTAAGCTGTTTACATGAATACTGCAGTTACTACAGTCATAACAGCCTCAATGTGATGTCAACAAAAACACTTGACAAATAAGTAAATGCTTAAACCATGAAGCAAACATGGCATACAGATATATCTTGTGTTCATATTGCAGACTGTCAAAAAAAAATACACTAAAAAACAGCCAAAGGTAAGTAAAAGCAAATCCAGGAAAACAGACATCTATGCTCGCAGAGTGTGCAATTAACTCTTGAAACTTAACTATACTTAATTTTATGTTACATGACAGGTCTACCCAAGTTTCAGAGATATTCATTAGCAGCTGAATTCTATACATTCTTACCAGTTGGCTTGAAGGCATTGGAGCAAGGCAAGCAAAATTCAACAAGTAGCCTCCTTTTTCAGAGCTAGGGAGGGGATCTGCCAGCTTGTTTCTATTGAGGCCCTTAAATGATCAATTAATGGTCTCATCATTATCAGTATCTCACCTCCGACAGTGAAGCTCCATGCCTTCCGGGAAGCCTAGCAACTCTTAAATGGCCAGCTGGTGTGAGGCAACGGTGAGGGAGGGGAAGAACGGAATTTCCCTTGCGTGTGCACTGTGATAATTGGAAGCACAGCCCACCAAAGTCACTTTCCGTTTTATTCCTTCACCTAGCCTCCTTAATCCAATCTCCTCACCCATTCATAATCCCTAGCCTCTCACTGAGACTCCAAACATGTGGGCTTCTTGGTATGGTGGAACTGCCTTTGTTGGTCCCAGTAGCCGCTGCTGTTCCTGGGTGAAACTGCTGAGACTATAGTTTCATGGTCATCACATTAACTGACTGTTCTCTAAATCTGGTCAACCCCCAATATTAAAACAATTAATGCTGTTCACAGCATTAAATTGCTGTAGGGCAGCTGCTGAGATCATGGGCAGGCAACTCTGCTACCAAACCCCTCAACACCTCAGCCCACCACCACCTCGGCCCAGCTCAAGCTTTTAAGGAGGGATTGAGAAGCTCCTTATGATACTGTTCTAATATGCAGGATGAAAATCAAATGATGGAAATACGATCAAAAATATTTTAAAAATGCAAGAGAACACCTAAAAGGTGCTGTAACATGCAACAGTACTGGAGATAGACTTCAGATAAAAGTTGGACATAAACATGTGGCTAGAAAAGCACAAAGAAAAATTGTTGAAACCACTGTCATTGGATGATGGAAGTCAGTGGGCGTATAAGTCACTGGGATAGAAAGACCAAATCATCATTCACACGTGGACGCAGACTATTTGGAAAGATAGATTGTTGAAGGTCACACAAGAATAATACTATGACAAGTTTGAAATATTTTCTTTCAATTCTTTTCCTCCTGAATCGCATAAGATGGGTAATAAAATTGGCCAATACAAAGAATACCAATTTCCAGGGAAAGATAAAAATGATATTTTAATCCCTAGTATAAGTAACTGTTACAACTAGCTGTGAATAACAATATCTCAAGCAAACTATAAGTGCAACAAGGGTGGTTCACATTTCTCAAATAGTTCTAACATTGAAAATCAGTATCCTTCCATCAGCCATACTGTAACTTCTGGAGTAACTCTGCACAACAGCACAAGACCAGTCACTTGCAGGACAAGCACTTAAATGTGAGGTGATTCACTTTGGAAGGAGTAACAGGAATACAGAGTACTGGGCTAATGGTAAGATTCTTGGTAGTGTGGATGAGCAGAAAGATCTCGGTGTCCATGTGCATAGATCACTGAAAATTGCCACCCAGGTTGATAGCATTGTTAAGAAGGTGTACAGTATCTTAGGTTTTATTGGTAGAGGGATTGAGTTTCGGAGCCACGAGGTCATGTTGCAGCTGTACAAAACTCTGGTGCGGCCGCACTTGGAGTATTGCGTACAGTTCTGGTCACCGCATTATAGGAAGGATGTGGAAGCATTGGAAAGGGTGCAGAGGAGATTTACCAGGATGTTGCCTGGTATGGAGGGAAGGTCTTATGAGGAAAGGCTGAGGGTCTTGAGGCTGTTTTCGTTAGAGAGAAGAAGGTTAAGAGGTGACTTGATAGAGACATACAAGATGATCAGAGGATTAGATAGGGTGGACAGTGGGAGCCTTTTTCCTCGGATGGTGATGGCTAGCACGAGGGGACATAGCTTTAAATTGAGAGGTGATAGATATAGGACAAATGTCAGAGGTAGGTTCTTTACTCAGAGAGTAGTAAGGGCGTGGAATGCCCTGCCTGCAAAAGTAGTAGACTCGCCAACTTTAAGGGCATTTAAATGGTCATTGGATAAACATATGGATGATAATGGAATAGTTTAGGTTAGATGGGCTTCAGATTGGTTTCACAGGTCGGCGCAACATCGAGGGCCGAAGGGCCTGTACTGCGCTGTAATGTTCTATGTAAGCATAATAAGGGTGTCTGAAATGGGCATACTGTATGAAAATCTGGGGGGAGGGGGTATATATTAATCTGATGCAAAACCAGATATAGCCCCTCTCACTCCATTAGTGTGTTACATTTGATCTCCTGGCTTCCGCTCACCATCCACAACACCCCAACAACCCTCCTCTCTCTCTCTCAGTGGCAGGCGCCTGGATAGAATATTGCCCTTCATAATTTTGAGGCTGTGAAGGTTATAGCATATTGCCACAAACATGGATATCGTAGGAAAGATCTTTAAAATGATCTCAGCACCAAAATCTCCACCCTAGGAGATGCAGGCAGGATGGGCTGAATAGAATCATAGAAAATAGACACTTCGTCCATGCCAACCAGGTATCCTAAACTGAACTAGTCCCATTTGCCTGCATTTGGCCCATATCCCTCTAAACCTTTCCGATCCATGTACCTGTCCAACTGTAATTTAAACATTGTAGTTCTACCCTGCATCTACCACTTCCTCTGGCAGCTCGTTCCATATATACACCACACTGTGAAAAAAAGTTGTCCCTCAGATCCCTTTCAAATCTTTCCCCCCTAGTTTTGGACTCCCCTACCCTGCGCAAAAGACCTAGGCTTTTCACCTTATCTATGCCCCTCATGATTTTATAAACCCAAGGAGTGCCTCAGCCTCCTACACTCCAGGGAATAAAGTCCCAGGCTATCCAACCTCTCCTTAGAACTTAAACCTTCTAATTTCGGTAACATTCTTGTACGTTGTTTTTGCATTCTTTCCAGTTTTAGAATATCCTTCCTAATGTAGGGCCACGAGTATTGTATGCAGTACTCCAAATGTGGCCTTACCAAATGTCTTGTATAGCTGTAACATGACATCCCAACTCCTGTACTTTATTCTCTGACTGATGAAGGCAAATGCGCCAAATGCTTTCTTCACTATCCAGTGTGCCTGTGATGCCACTTTCAAAGAACTATGTACCTGCACCTCTAGGTCTCTCTGACAGCACTGCCCAGGGCCCTGCCATTAATTGTGAGAGTCCTGCCCTGGTTTGTCTTACCAAAATGCAACACTTTGTATTTATCTGAATCAAACTCCATCTGCCATTACTCGGTCCATTGGCCCAGTTGAACAAGATCCTGTTGTACTCTTAGATAGCCTTCTTCACTATTCACTATAACATCAATTTTTGTGTCACCCGCAAACTTACTAACCATGCCTCCTATTTACTCATCCAAATTGTTTATACAAATGACAAACAAGTGGACCCAGCACTGATCCTTGCCACACACTGCTGGTCAGAGGCCTCCTGTCTGAACAACAACTCTCTACCACCAACCTCTGTCTCCTACTGTCAAGCCAATTTTGTATCCAGGTGTAGTTTCTGAAGAAGGGTCTAGGCCCGAAACGTCAGCCTTCCGGCTCCTCTGATGCTGCTTGGCCTGCTGTGTTCATCCAGCTCTACACCTTGTTATCTTTGTATCCAGGTGGCTAGCTCATCCTGGATCCCATGTGACCTAACCTTACTAACCAGTGTACCATGTGGAAGCTTGTTGAAGGCCTTGCTAAAGTCCACGTGGAGAGAGTCTACTGCTCTGCCTTCATCTATCTTCTTGGTCATGTCTTCAAATAACTCAATCAGGTCTGTGAGACATAACTGCCCATGCACAAAGGCATGCGGACTACCCCTAATGAGTCTTTACTTTTCCACATGCACATAGATTCTGTCTCTCAGAATCTCCTCCAGCAACGTACACACTATTGACATCAAGCTCACCGGTCTCTAGTACCCTTGCTTCTCCTTGCAGCCCTTCTTAAATAATGGCACAACATTAGCCATCCTCCAGTCTTCCAGTACCTAACCTGTGGCTATTGATGGTACAAATAGCTCTGTTACAGGCCCCACAATTTCTTCCCTAGCTTCCCACAATGCTCTGAGATGTACTTGATCAGGTCCCATGGATTTGTCTACCTTCATGTGTTTTAAGATCTCCAGAACTTCCTCCTCTGTAATGTGGACTCTTCTCAAGACATCACCATTTATTTCCCAGAGTTCCCTAGCTTCCATATCTTTCCACACAGTAACTACTGATGCGAAATATTTGTTTACGATCTCACCCATCTCCTGTGGTTCCATACACAGATGGCCTCATTGATCTTTAAGGGGCCCTGTTCTCTCCCTAGTTATTCTTTTGCCCTTAGTATATTTATAGAATTTCTTTGGATTCTCCTTAACTTTATCTTCCTTCTGCACCATAACAATCCTGTGATCAACAACCTGATGGATTGTTTCATGGTGCTGATTAGACTCCATGCCTCTCATTGAAAATCCACTGTCCGTTAGCACTACTGGCTGGACGTCTGGTTTGCAATGCAGAGTGGGGTCAATTTGCAGGTTTTCGCATTCGTTAGATGTTGAAAGGTTGCTTCCCCTAACTGGGGTACTAGAACTACAACTGAGATGAGGAAGAATTCTTTCATCCAGAGACTGGTAAATCTTTGTGATGCTTTGCCCCAGGAAGCTGTGGAAACTCATTCAATGAGTATGTTTGAGCTGAAGATCAATGGATTTCTAGGTGCCAATGACAACTGGAGATACGGAGATAGCATGGGAAAACGGCATTGAGGTGAATGATCATTCATCAAATAACACAGTGGCTTGAAAGGCTAAATGATCTACTCCTGTTCCTATGTTCCTGTTCCGTACATTGCATTGATATAGGGTTTCATCAAGGCACATGCATGGGGCAATTAAAAAGCAAGTAACTCTTCTCTTCTCTTGTAACCCTCTTTATCCTCTTGGATATTTCTGTGGGCAGTAAATTGTAAGGAATGAAAGGGCAGTGGTTATCTTTAGAGTTACTGGGAGAGCCCTCCTTTGCATGTTGAGGGTCCAGGTCATCACACGGAAGGTGAAAACATTCCATCATTATCTCCTCAGTGAAGCAAAGCATCTTGAGGTATGCTTCAGATTCATCCCAATGTAAGATTGGAGCTCTCAGAAGATCATCTCAGAGTACGACCATCTAACCAAAGTTTCTAGTTATTTCTAGCTTATCCTATGTGAATAAATTGCACTGTCATTCAGTCTGGTAGGTATAATCTACTGGGGTAAGATTATGCAGACAGTGACACCTTACATCTGTAGTTCCAATCAAGTGTGTTGAAGCTACATACCATTTTTAACAGGATACATCATCAGTATTAACAATTATTTCACTTGTATATTCCACTAAATGTATAAACCAAAATTCAAAAATAAAAAAAATCAACAAGTTCTCTGACTAACATTTATGCAAAAACATATACCTTGTGAATTTTAGCAAGCTCCATCTCTCTTCGTGCAGCGTAATTCAAAGTGCCATGCTTTGTTGTTTTTTTTGGTCTCTGAATTCGTATTCGTGGTTGAGTGACAAAATCTGGTAGAGTTTCCTCCAATTCAAGTATACCTGAAAAAAAGCACTGAAAGCTTGATGAATCCCAAAACCAATTTTAATTCGTAAAAATCCCTTTCAATTTTTTAAGAGGAACTTGCTTACATATGTATACTTTAGTGTAACTTTTATAATCACAGATTACACCACGAAATATATGTTATGATCTAGTTCAGGACCAGAAAGCTTTTTCTTTACAGTAGGCAAAGTTTGAGATTCTAAATACTTACCAAGAAAATAAAACCACAAGATTTCACAGTTTTGAACAAACAAACTAACCGTTACCATACAAAGTTACAACAGCAAAATAATCCACAATATATACATTGCATGGAACCTTATGGGAGCCTGAGCAATATTGGCTGTGATGAGATTTGTGGCAGAATTGTGTGAGAAGTCAAGCAAGACTTATCTCAACATTGGGAACAACTCAGTGTATCTTTTTTGCATTTGCTGAGCAGCTAAGCAAGTTGTTGTTACAAAGCAGCAAGTTGCCAATGAAGAAGGATTATAGCTTGTTAAATGTCTTATTAAAACACAACTTGCCTCATTAATTTTCAGCCTCCTATCTTACAAATGTGCCAAAGAAGCTAGGCACAGAATTTTCCACATGGAAGTCGGAGCTGAACCTGGTGATTTCAGCTTGCCACTTGCTCTAAAGGACTTCCATGTTGAACACTGGGCACCAACATCTCAGAAACATAGAAAATACAGGCAGGAGTAGGCCAGTCAGCCCTTCAAGCCTCTCCACCATTCAACACGATTGTGCTGATCATCTAATTCAGTACCCTGTCACTGCTTTCTCCCCATACCTTTCGGCCCCTTTAGCCCTGAGAATTATACTTGACTCATTCTTGAAAACAGTCAATGCTATAGTCTCAATTGCTCTCTGTGGCAGAGAATTCCACAGGCTCACTATTCTCTCTGGTGAAAAATACCTCTTCTCAGTCCTAACTGGTCTACCTCATACCCTTAGACTATGACCCCTTGATTTGGACTCCCCAGTCAGCAGGAACATCCTTCCTGAGTTTACACTCTCTAGTCCATTTAGAATTTTAAAGGTTTTATGAGCTCCCCCCTCCAATGAATATAGTCTTAACCAATTCAGTCTCTTTTCAAACATCAGTCCTGTCATCCCAGGATCATTCTGGTGAAAGTTCGCTGCATTCCTTCCATAGTCAGAACATCCTTCCTCAGATAAGGAGACCAAAACCGCATATTATACTCAAGATGTGGTCTCACCAAGGCACTGTACAATCACAACAAGACATCCCTGTCCCTTTAAGAATCCTCTCATTTTGAAGGCCAACAACATATCATTTGCCTTCTTCACTGCCTATTGCACCTGCATGTTTACTTATGGCGACTGGTGTACAAGGACACCTAGTCTCATTGCACCACCCCCCTTTCCAGTATATCACCATCTCAGGGAACACTCCATGGGCACCAGCTACACGCACCCCACACCTATGAACATTAGCATTCGATGAACCAGCGTCTAAGAATTCTCACAGAATCGTTATGGGGCAGAAGAAATTTGGCCTCTTGTGCCTGCACCAGTTCTGTCTATTGCCTATTGCCCATATCCCACAGCATCATTCCTATCCAAATAAACATGCAGTTCCCTATTGAATGGCCCAACTGAACCTACCCCTCCCATATTTCCAGGCAATGCATTCCACACCCCAACTACTTGCTGTGTGTAAAAGTCTCATGGCACATCTCTAATCCATTTACAGAACTTTCTGCATTTCAACACCTGTATATTGGGCTGTACCAGCAACTGTGATTGTAAAACTGCTGCAAGGAGACTATGTACTCAGGAACACACCAACTCATGGACAGGACTAGGCTGTTCACTGGCACTCAGCACACATGCTGAGCCTCCTAGGATTCTCACAGTATTCCTTCCTAGCATTGCCTTGCCTTGCCTTTATGGACTTTGTCCCCCAGCCAGAGATGCCAGGCACATCTTACTCCTGTTTTGCTTACCATTTAGATCAGATACATAACCAGGAAGCTTGATGGGATTGACAGCAGTACTCAGTCAAGAGAGTTAGCCTTCAGTCACGATCCAGATACAGTAGTCAACAACAGTCTCCAATTCCAGTCCAGGGGCTTGGACGTGGTCAATCAGCTGCTTGGGGCAGTCAAAATTAGGGGTGAGGAGTCAAATGTCTGACAGTCCTCCACCTGTCTTGACTCTTTCTGCTGTTTTCCTCCTGGAAGGCAGATAATAATGGAGATAAAAGTAGATGGCACAGGTGCAAGTGGGGATGTGACCTGAGCAAGTGAATGGGCAGTGCAGAGGGCATGCAGCGTTAATAGTATCAGAGATTGGGATTGGTGACAGCGAGTGAGGAATGATTTTGCAGGCAATAGTGAGTGTAGTAGAAAATGAGCCTTGGTGGAAGTAAGTGTAGTTGCAGGGATAGTGAGAATGTGTGTCAGAGAGAAGATTATGGCACATGCTGGAGGAGTGTAGAAGATCATCAATCTTCTCCCTACATGTTGTGCATTCCTCCAGATAGTTGAAACTGCACTGGATACCTCAGGCATGGTCTAGTGTTGTTGCCTCCTTTGTTGGTCCTGGGATAAAAGGAGTGTCCAGCCTGTGTACTACCTCATCCAGCGGAAACTACCCTTGCCTGCAAAGCAGGACACTAAATTTCCTTGACTGCCAGGACCGGGGCAAAAGTCAGGAACTGAGAAAACACACACAAAGCATTGTGGCAAAAAACCCTCCAAAAAAAAACTCAATGCAACAATTAATCAATAAAATGCAAGATTCAGCCCAAAGTTTCTACTCCACCATCCAGAAACAAAAGCAGGTAAACATTGGTAACAGACAACTTGTGGTCAAACATCCAAAAGAGCACAATAAATAGCAAACACAATAATAACAGATCCTCAAGAACCCCAAATAATTCGAGATGTTGTTGGTCATTAAATCTTTACAAAGGATTCCCAGTTCTTCACTTTCAAAGACCTGTCTTCAGATCTTCCTCCAAAGCCTGTTCTTTATGGACAGCATTAATTCCCCATAGAATCACTGATTCATCCAATATAGGACAGGCCTTTCCACCTGCTGAGTTTTTTTTTATTAGTGTAGATTCGGCAATGGCCTAGTGGTATTATCGCTGGACTGTTAATCCAGAGACCTAGATAATGTTCTGGGGACCCAGGTTCAAATCCCTCCATGGCAGATGGTGGAATTTGAATTAAATAAATATCTGGAATTAACAGTCTAATGATGACTGTGGATCCATTGTCAATTGTTGGAAAAAACCCACCTGGCTCACTAATGTCCTTTAGGGAAGGAAACTGCCATCCTTACCTGGTCTGGCCTACATGTGACTCCAGACCCACAGCAACGTGGTTGACTCTTAACTGCCCTCTGGGCAATTAGGGATGGGCAATAAATGCTGCCTAGCCAGCGATGCCCTCATCTCGTGAATGAATAAAGAAAAAAAAAATCTATACTAGTCCCACCTTCCAGCACTTGGCCCATAGCCTTGTATGTTGTGACGTTTCAAGTGCTCATCCAAGCATTTTTAAAAAAAAAGTTAAGATTTCCCACCTCAACTACCCTCCAAAGCAGTCCATTTTAGATTCTCTCCACGCTGAGTAAAAAGAGAAAGTTTCCCTCAAATCCCCTCTAAATCTCCTGCATTTCACCTTAAAATTATGCCCCTTTGTTAATGACTCTTCAACGAAGGCAAACAGCTGCTTATTGTTTACCTTCTTCTGGATTCACTCATCTGCATTCTAGAAACAGCACAATTCCAATTAATCCGCAGACAATAGGATTGAAACCGTTGAGTTTTAGAAACATTAGAAACCCTTGGGTTTCTCTGAACTTCAACCATTTTCAGTTGCATCAAGCAAATACTACTCGTGAGCTTCTTTGACCTTACTCTCAACTGTATTGAGCTATCATTAGAACACAGAACATAGAACAGTACAGCACAGTACAGGCCCTTCGGCCCATGATGTTGTGCCGACCTATTATCCTACTAAGATCAAACTACTCTGCATACCCTACGTTTTACTATCCTCCATGTGCCTATCCAAGAGTCGCTTAGAAGTCTCTAAAGTATCTGACTCCACTACCACTGCCGGCAGCGCATTCCACACGCCCACCACTCTCTGTTTGAAGAACCTACCTCTGACATCTCCCCTACACCTTCCTCCAATCACCTTAAAATTATGCCCCTCGTAATGGTCATTTCCGTCCGGGGAAAAAGTCTCTGACTATCCACTCTATCTATGCCTCTCATCATCTTGTACAACTCTCACCTCTCATCCTTCCTCGCTCCAATGAAAAAAGCCCTAGCTCCCTCAACCTTTCCTCATAAGACCTGCCCTCCAGTTCAGGCAGCATCCTGGTAAACCTCCTCTGCACCCTCTCTAAAGCTTCCACATCTTTCCTATAATGAGGTGACCAGAACTGAACACAATATCCCAAGTGTGGTCTAACCAGAGTTTTATGCAGCTGCAGCATAACCTCAGGGCTCTTAAACTCAATCCCCCTGCCAATGAAAGCCAACGCACCATACGCCTTCTTTACAACCCTATCAACTTGGGTAGCGACTTTGAGGGATCTATGGACCCCAAGATCCCTCTGTTCCTCCACACTGCCGAGAATCCTGCCATTAACCCTGCATTCTGCATTCAAATTCGACCTTCCAAAATGAATCACTTCACACTTTTCTGGGTTGAATTCCATCTGCCACTTCTTTGCCCAGCTCTGCATCTTGTCAATGTTCCGTTGCAACCTACAACAGCCCTCCACGCTGTCCACAACTCCACCAACCTTCGTGTCATTGGCAAACTCACTAACCCACCCTTCCACTTTCTCATCCAAGTCATTTGTAAAAGATCACAAACAGCAGAGGACCCAGAACAGATCCCTGCGGAACACCACTGGTCACCGAGCTCCAGGCTGAATACTTTCCATCTACTACCACTCTCTGTCTTCTATAGGACAGCCAGTTTTGTATCCAGACAGCCAAATTTCCCTGAATCCCATGCCTCCTTACTTTCTGAATGAACCTACTTTGTGGAACCTTATCAAATGCCTTGCTAAAATTCATATACACCACATCCACTGCTCTACCTTCATCGATGTGTTTCGTCACATCCTCAAAGAATTCAATAAGGCTTGTGAGGCGTGACCTGCCCCTCACAAAGCCTTGCTGACTATTTTGAATCAAACTGTGCTTTTCCAAATAATCAAGAATACTATCTCTCAGAATCCTCTCCAATAATTTGCCCACCACAGAAGTAAGACTGACTGGTCTGTAATTTCCATGATTATTCCTATTCCCTTTCTTGAACAAGGGAATGACATTTGTCACTCTCCGATCTTCTGTTACTACTCCAGTGGACAGTGAAGATGCAAAGATCATTGCCAAAGGGGCAGCAATCTCTTCCCGCGCTTCCTGTATAACCTTGGGCATATCCCATCTGGCCCAGGGGACTTATCTATCCTCATGTTTTTCAAAATTTCTAGCACATCCTCCTTCCTAACATCAACCTGTTCGAACATATCTGCCTGTTTCATGCTGTCCTCACAAACATCAACTCATGAACTGTTACTGAGACCCCAGTTTCTAGAGCTTTTCCTGAGCTTTAACCCCACACAACAGCACCTACTGGCTCCCAGCATTTCTTCAATTCCTAACTACATGGAGTTACTAAATGATTCCTGGGCCTTCTTCCCAACTACAAAGAGCTAATGATCTCAGCGGTCCTCTCAGCGGCTCATCTAACAGCAGCACCTTTCCTGCATGGTGCTTCTTCCTCTGCTTCTGGCTCGCTCTTTCTCTCTCTCAATATGGTTCTTTAGTAATCTTTGAACTATTCTAATCTATTCAAATTCTTGCAACAAGCCCACAGTACAAATGGACACACAAAATTAGATTTCATCACACAACTTTGCACTGCTCATTGTATGAAGTCGAAAAGTGGGTCGTGCTGTGTGCTCTCCCCCATGGTGAGTTTGATGATGGGGGCATTTAATTAGTAAGAAGGCAGCACGCAACCTTTCTGCCTTAACCCAGATTAAGTCCACAGCAGGAAAACCTTCGAGTGGCATTCCTGTACCTCCACCAATTAAGGGCCTCATTCCACTGTCACTGGTATTACCCGGTCTGTTTCTTAGTGGGCTAATACAGTTGGGTGGAAGCTCATTAAAAGACACTTTGTATCTGAATAAAGGTGAGAAGATAATTAAAGCCACCATATGTTCCTACTGACAGCACCCACTCATTTCCCCCATCCAACCACAACCGCAATCTCCACCCCTGGACCTACACATACCACCACTGACCTGAACTTGGGTCCCTCCTCAGTTACTTACCAGTAACAGTCACTACTTTCCCAGTGGTGCTATTGAGTACAGCACAGTCTCTGGTTTCTGATTGGCTGGCAGCTATTAACAGGTGAGGCATCGCATTCTGTGATCCTTGATCCCAGGAGAAAGCCAGCCATTGGTCTGTTAAGTGTCTGAGTAGGAGAAGGTGCAGTAGGCCGGGAGTAACCAAGCTCCTATGTTTCATGGGTTAGTCCTCTAATTTTCCAAACTGTCCTGAACCCAAGCTTTTGTTTCAAGATGTCATTCTCTTGAATTTCTCCAGACAGTGACTTGGAGATTGCTAAGTGTCTCCTTTTCTGATGCCGGAGCATCTTATGTGCATGTACATGCGAACTGCACTGCTGTGTATGCAGTGCCCACTCCACTCAACCACAAGGAGCAGGGACTGGTAGTCTGGCAGCAGGTCTGAGTACTTGGAGGACATTTGGGTAGAAAGGCTGCTCATTAAGTGAGGACAGGGGTTTTGGGAAAAGGAAGTGAATTTCTGGGTGGGATGTTGTAAGAGATGGTTGAGAGGCTTCTGTCTATGTTTGTCGGGAGAGATGAATTAGACATGTTTATATGTAGAGAAGCAGTGGGAAGTATCTGGAATCAAAATGGAGCTATGAAATAGCAGCATGCATAAGCTCAACAAGGTTTAGGGATGGAATATTGCTTAGTTTTGTATGTGGGCAATTCTTTTGGGTTTATTTGCATCTGATTTAAAAGTTCTTCCCTCTGAACTGCCTCCCTGCTCCTGTCCTAAGCAACATCTCACCAGAGACCAATCTCCCATCAGCTTTACTCTGGATTCTGGTCTCAGCCAGCTTCCATGATGCCTGTTACCTCTACAACATTTCACCCTTTGTCTCTGGCAATTACATCTATGAAAACTGAAACAATTTTTAAAATTAATCTATGAAGGATTATTTCAGTGCAAACTTTCACACAATCCAGCTTCCATGGTACAAGAAGTATACACTTATAACTCTTTCCAAGATTCACCTTCATATCAACTATGTATATACAGCAACAAGACATCATCCTCTCTGTCTGGTTAAAATGGGTCAAGTTTCATTTTCAAACGTTAATACTGAAGATTGTTTGTGGACTAAACAGACTACAAAGAGATTTGGAACTCCTGTTGTAATTTCTGTGAAATGATTGTAATGTGTATAGTTGAGGATTGCCTTTTGGATATTCAGATGACAAAGAAACCCAAAACAGATTGCACATTATACATCTCCGAGTTTCTGTATCATTAAATTACCATTAAATGTGGAAAGAAAATGACTTTTCACAATGAACCGTTCAGAATTCTGGTCTGGAAACCGGCCATTTCGAGAGACTGGTGCATAAACCTGTGATCCATAATCTGCATAGTCCTGTATGCGGTTACGCCGCTCAAGCTTCCCTTCTACATTTCTTCTCTTAGCTGTTATTTTTCTTATTTCTGTAAATATAATTGTTAAAAAATGTGAATACAGATCAGTAAAAATTTTTATACAAAACTCATATAGTTAAGTAATATTTGTGCCACACAGGTACCGGGTGATAATCATCTCCAACAAGACAAATTCTAACCATTGTCCCTTGAGATTTAATGGCATCACCATTTCTAAAACTCCACTATCAAGATAATTGACCAGAAACTGAACTGAACAAACCATACAAATATTATGGTTAAAAAAGCCAGTCAGACACTAGAAATTCTGCAATGAGAAATTAATCTGTCTCCCTAGTGTGTGTCCACAATCTACAAAGCACAAGTCAGGAGTATGATGGAATAATCTCTACTTGCCTGGAACGGATTCAGCTCAAACTATGATGTCAATTCTTGACATCATCCAGGACAAAGGGGCCCACTTGATGAACACCCAATCCACCACCTTCAACATTCATTCCCTTCTCCACCAAGGCATGGTGGCAGTTTGTACCACCTACAGGATACATTGCAATAACATAATCAACACTCCTCAGTCAGCATCTTCAAAACCCTGACCATTACCACTCAAACAACAAGGAGACCAGATGCATGGGAACACCACTATCTACAAGATTCCCTCCATATTACACACCATCCTGACTTGCAATTAAATTGCCTTCAGTCTCCAGGTCAGAATCCTGAAACTCCCAACAGCACGGTGGGGATCTCTACAGTCCAAAGACTGCAGTGGTTTGAGGAGGTAGATCATCACCGCTTTTTCAAAGGCAATTAGGGATAGTTTGGGGCAGAAAGTATGTCCATATTCCACATTGATGAGTAGAATTTAACGCAAATAGAACTACACACCATGGCAAAGCTGTCAGTGAGTCAGGAGTCTGTTATTGAAGCAGGCTTTATCATGGTTCTTCAACTCAACCATTGCATTAGCATCCAACTTCCAAGTTCCCAGCCCAATTGGGGGAGGTCCATGTGGAATGGTCTGTCACATCTTTCAAAGAAAGGATTTCTAATGAAAGGACCCTCAGTTGTTAGAATAAGATCTGAAGAAAAGTCATATCAGACTTGAAACATTAACTTTGTTTCTCTCTCCACAAATGCAGCCAGATCTGTTGATTTTTTCCAGCACTTTCTGTTTCTATTATGTTAAAATGGCTGACCTGTACTTCGATTCCAAAGGCTGCTGTGATCAAAGAAATGGAAAACAGGTCTGTGAAGACTATCCCTGCCTCATACCACAACTGCTTTGCTTCTTCCCTCACCCCCAAAATCCCCAGGTCTCAGATTCTTACCTAGAGGTCATGTTCAGGGCCTGAGAAACTGAAATGTAATGACCGTCCTAGAATTCTGCTGGCAAAACACTTCTCAGACCATGCAGCTCCATTCATTCCTCAATCACATCTTTGTGTCATTTCACAAACTTATGTCATAGCCCTTCCCTCCTCTCCACACAATCACAAGCCTCTGCTTTCTCTTTACATTAGAACACACAATTGTGGGGCAAGGCAGAAAATCAGGGCGGGAAATGAGAAGGAGGTGGACTTCCAGTTTGGCATCTTCACAGCCATGGAAAATAAATTCCCACCTGTCCAACGGAAAGCAGGTCCTGTTCCAGGGACAGCAGATAACAGAAGTGACTTGCCAATGAAAACATTAACCTTCTGAAGAACTTGTGCTCTCACGTGTGAGCGAGTTGATTCTTTGTCCACCCTAATAGGTTGTGTTGACGTTTCGCTTGCTTTGAGCCACATCTCTGAGCATTCCTCTGGAGCGGTGTGTTTCAATAGAGATAGGTAGCACTGTTTGAGCTATTGCCATGCTACAGTGAAGACTGGCAACAAGGAATGTAGATCAAGTTGAGTGAAGTCCAAGATAGGTGAAGTCACTTCCAAAAGTTTGCAATGCACCTGTCAGTGAAAGCACAAACTCTGAAGTACTGCTGTGAGCCATTTCCTCAGCATGGCTGCAGCTATTCAGTTTCACTCTTTGAAGATTTCCTGCCTGTTGCATTCACACAAGAAATACGTTCCACTGTGCTCTCAGCTGGCTGGCTCCCACCAGTTCTCAGCAACTCCAAAGACTTGTGCACTGCCTTTTAAAACCAGACTGCTTGGTTAAATCTAAATGTTGAGTTAATTGACAGCTTCACAGATGTTACCAATCCACACATGTTAAACCTGGAAATGGGAGGGATCTAGTCAGGTTCCCAACTGTAATAATTATTTTTAGGGATTTAAACCCCTGGCTACATCCAAACCCCTTTCTATCCACCTTCCTCCTTCCACCTCCCCTTGACAGTTAGAATTCGGTCTTCAGAATCATAGAACCATCGTCTCATCAACTCTTGTGCCATCGTCAAAATGGCTGAGAGTAATTTTGGTTCTTTTCTCAGAATTAATTCAGAATATACCAACTCCCCAAATCAGCAATATCTAATACAGCAATTATGTATATATGAAACATTTTGAATGAATAATTGAACCTACTTTTATGGTGCCCTGACTGCACACAGAAAATGGAAATTCAGTGAAATGTCACTATCTCCTTGCTTCTCTTGAATTCCTTATTTCATGCTGTGGTCTGCATCAAACACAACTTATAGCTAACATTCATAGTTTCATCTCACCACTAACCGCTTAGCACTGCTGCAAGTCTCATACCCTTGTCTCATACACTGTTAACTATTCAATCATGAGAGCCGCATCACCCAAGCAGATTGCATCACACTTCCCTTTCTCTTGCAGGACAAGTTGACTCATAACCAGAGGCAGCAGGAGCTCATCAGTGGGAAAGGACCCAGATGCAGGACACTTCCCCCATGAAAGAGACAGTGGGTGCCATCATTGAAGCAGACATGGTTGAAATTGCACGCAACAGTGGGGCTGAAACCATTGAGTGACAGTATCCTCAGACCTAATTTACCTGCTCACATCTGTTTTACTTTTTAGCATGTATCTCTTAATTTCTATCTTCTTGCTTCACCACAGCCTTACATTTGTACTTTTCTCTTTTCAGTTATCAAGAATAAGCAGTGGTGTAACAGCAGGCAGTGCAAGAACAGGAAATCAATGATAAAGAAGACAATTTACCAATAGTTCTCACACTTGCAGCCATCAACTCAGATACTAGGTTGGATTCTAGGGGTATAGGCATATGATAAGACATTGGGCACTACTGATCTTCAGACAGTTGGAGGCAAGAATGGTGTAGATGCCAGCTCACATGAGGGCAAGATTTTACACAAATTCTTCTGCAGAGATCTCAGATAAGGACTTCATTGGGGCAATTTACATAGACGGGTGATGCTATGTACAATTGAATCTTGGGGTTTGGTAGGTGTAGTGATTGGAACCAGATGGACCTTATTAACTATAAGGTTCTCAGTTGGGGTTGCTAACCTGGGCCAATCAGGAAAGCCTTGGCTGACCAATCGAACTAGGAGAGTGAAGTGCTTTACTTCCCCCTCCAATTCCATTTTGATTTACCCTCCCCCTCACTTTTCTTTCACATTGGCATTGCCCCTAGGGCGCTGCTTGTTACTGATGTTTTGGTCACGTGTGATCTTACGGGTGGTGGTATGTTAATAACATTTTCGCATCTTGTTTTTTTTTTCAACTGTGTCTCACACCTGCACATACACAACAAGGGTGTTGGGGGAGATAAGCACTACTGCTGGATGGCAGTAGTGTAAGGGAACAGAAAAGAAAACAAATAAATATATAACCAGGAGATTAGAAGCTCCTTAGTTAAGGACTGACTCCGAGCTGGCTGGCCACAGCCAGTGGTACGATGGATTCTTTTTCACTAAAAAAAAATAACCAGGAGATTAGAAGTGCTTTACTTCCCCCTCCAATTCCATTTTGATTTGACCCCTACCCTCCCCTTCATCTTTTCGTTCACATAAGCATTGCCCCTACAGGGCTCTAGGTTCTGGTCACATGGGTGTCATGGAAAAAAATATACATATAACTAAGAGATTAGAATCTCCTCAGTTGAGGACTAACTCTGAGTTGGCTGGTCACAGCCAGTGTACTGTGAAGAAGAAGCTTGGTGTTGGATCGTGGTGTTGGCTGTGCTCTCATTCTGGCTATGTAAGCTTACTGTTTCTATTGTTTGCTGTTGCCTGGGCCCCTGGTTCTTCTGTTGCCTGGACCTACCCAGTTCTGCTGTTGCAGCAGCTGGGGCCTCCCTGGGTTAACTACTGCTGCCTGGGCCAGTTCAGCTGCTACTAGTGCTTGGGCTCCTGGTTCTGCTGCTGCTGCCATTGTCGCTTGGGCCTTCCACCTCTCCTGCTGCTGCTTCTACTGCCTGCCTCAGGCCACACCCAAGGACTGTTGCTGCTGCCTGGGCCCCTTGGAAGAACGGACTTCCTGCAGCGTCTGGCAGCACTACTGCTCCCCACCCCCTCACCTCCCTGGCAACGTGGCTAGCCCCAAGGTGGCAGGACCTAGCCCTACCTATGCCGGGGTAGCAGCAGCCTGGGGCCCAGCTGCTTCAGCCCCAGCTATGACCCCATCTCCCTTTAGGCTCCTTACCAATGGCCTACCCCAACGTGTCTATTGAGGCCTGGAGTAAGGCCATGGCTATGGTCATCGTTGCTGTGGCCAAAATATACGGGAAGGCCGTTTTCTACCTGTGGACCGAGCAGGCGGCGCATCTAGCTGTTGAGAAGGGGCTCATTGTGGGCAGGACGTATCTGCCCTGAGAAGCCACCTGGCTCCTGGAATGGCAACGAGGGTTCTACATGAGTCACCTCACCTGCAAATCCGGCAGGGTGGCTTTCTTGTTGGTCCCGCATTTTCAGCCGGAGATCTTGGGGGTCAAAGAGGCTGTGTCAGGCAGTGATGGTGCAGCTGCGGGGTGGGGGGAGTCGAGGTGCTTCATTTCGTGAACGTCTATGCTCCCTCAGTGAGGCCGAGGCAAATGTGCTTCTACAGAGAAGTGTCTGTTCATCTTGCCTGCATTGACAAAGGCCAGTCCATTGTCCTCTGGTGGTGGTGCATCCTTGA